ACGTACTTTGGTGATGATCAAATGGCTTCCAGCTTCCAGCACCTAAATACATCCATTAACCATTTTATGTGTGGACTGTGGATACAATGGTATAGTTCTGAAATCTGAATTAATTTTGAGGGCTAGCTTTACGGTGCTGGAATTCAGAATTAATTAATTTGTTCTTTAATTAAAGAGCTCAATTGAGCTGCTCCAGAGCACAGAATCAACAATAAAGCTCACACGGCCGGCCAGATAATCTGACACTTTCTAGCCAACCGGCCGGCCGCTCGCTGGCAGCCTGGCACAGACCAACCAGTCACCCGCCTTCCTTTTCAGCAAAGGACCCGACTACCGTGCCGACTGTTTTGAGAAGACCTACATTATCCCGTCAGAAACTGAGAACTCTTCTTACTTGTTAGCCAGCTGGGTCGGTTCCACTCCACATGGACACATACTGATCCAACCTGCTTTGGCATACACCAACCGTACCTGCGCGTGTATGAGAACAAAATACAAATGAACAATATCAGAGCATTGTACAAATTGGCCCCTACATTGATGATGAAGTACCAGCTATGCCGGACCCACCAAACGAGCGAATAATGATCATGAATCATAAACATCTCTGATTACCTAGATTCGGCGTTTTGTGCAATATTGCTTCTCGCTCACGAGACCAAATCAAATCAAACATATATAGCTCCTTCAGCAAAGAGACATCAATGTATATCAGGGGACAGGATAAACAATGATCAATGAAGGAGCAAAACAGTATTCCAGTACTACTGGGGAGAGTTTCGGAGAAGGTGAAGAGTGATAGATAATCAGTCACGGATGCAACAGTAACAAGTAAGAACAACCAAAAATTAAATAAATAAATGGATATCGTATGCATAATTCACAACAAGGGGTACTACGTATAGATAGTAGTAGTAGTAGCAGCAGCTAGTTAGTCCAGTGAGAAAGCTAGCTCATTCAATTCCAAAGCCCAAGCAACGGATCTGTGACTGCTCCCTCGTTCTGTTGATGTTTGAATTTTGGAAACCGTTTGCATGTAAACGTAATTCTCTGAGTAGTCGTTGGGATTGAATTGACTCCAGACAAGAATTCCATTTTCCAGCTGCATGTTGTGCTGGAAATAATCAAATAATGTTTGGAATAACGTAATTTGAATCTCGTCGTCATCATCACGCTTCAATTCGTGCCCACAGAAGAGAAAAAGGATACAAGCATAATAATGATTCATTGCTGCTGCTAATATAGAATACTACCTAGAGGCATCTTTTCAACGTCACTTCTAAAATAGTATAATATATATTAAGGATGGGAATTCTTTCAAAGTGACGAGGGGGCCAATTGATTGACGGGGGGTCACTTTGAACCGTGGAGTAGTACTTTTTTAGTTGCGGCCGATAGGAGATGGTGCGGTTAACTTTAGCCTTTAGAGGGAGTAGACTAGTAGATGATATGAATGCTTGAATAGAGTCTAGAAAGGGAGAGTCGGGGTGGTGATCCTCCTCATAGAATGGGGCCAAGAGATCTAAAGCTAGCCAAGGCCGTTAACCGGTTAACCCCGTAAGGGATCAAATCCAGCACTGAGATCATCTCCCTTTGATCTTTCCAAGGTAAAAGGGTATGATCAACTCTGCAGTCATCACTGTGGATTTATCATTAATTTATATATTAGACTAATCATATGGTAAGGATGATTAGGATCAAAATTCATTAAAACACTAATAATATGTTTTTGGGTTTGAAATTAGGACACTCAATTCACTTATCTCCGGACAAAATTAAGTGTTAATTTATACTAAAATCAATTACTTGAAGGTGTATTAACCCTGAAGGTTTCCTTTTATCCTGTAACAAATGCATGTTCTGTAGCCTCAAAAACATTAATCTTCACCCACTAATATGCAGCATTTTACATATATCGTTCACATGATCATCCAAGTCCTGTCGCAATAGTTATATGAACCCTTTTGTCGAAAATGTTTTTTATTTATTTTTATTTGATGTCAACTGCAAGTTGAGTACTGAAAAATGGAGAAACAAATAATAGACCTTGATCACTATATAATTATTGATTAGTAAAGGCTCTTAGAACTTTCCTAGATTGGATAGAAATGAATGCAAGACTAAGTTGAACTATTTGGTTGCATTATTGGACAGCATGATTAAGTCTCCGTTTGTTTGCGGAGCGGATTTCTAATGTCGTGTAATTGTATGGAAGTGCAAATGGGTTGAATGTAAATTGTACTTTATTTTAATTTGCTTTGAATTTGATGACTTTATCTTGTTTGTCTATGGTTGAATGTAAATTGTACTTTATTTTAATTTGCTTTGAATTTGATGACTTTATCTTGTTTGTCTATGAAAATAAAACAGAAAGTAGAACGATACTGTCCCCACTCTATATGGAAGTGAATTGAGGCAAAAGGAAGGTCATTAATTTGTTTGAATAGAGTAAGATAGGAAGCAAGATATAGTCTCCCAACTTTACATGAGAAATAATTGAGGCAGGATGACATGTAGTTGGTGCAAACTTTACACTGCAAAATTTGCATGCTGATGAATGCAAATGAGATTTACACTGCATATCATAGTTACTAAGCAAAAGGATGCAAATTTGCATCTGCTTCAGATTTGCACTGCAAACAAATACATTATAAAGGGAAACCAGTTTGTAGTATTAGGAAACTAATCTTTATGAGAAAAAAGTGGTAGTAAAACAAAATTTTGGGCTTTAACTAGAATTTCCACCAAATAAATTCCACAAGGATAAGGGTCAGTCGGGTCGACCCTGGCCATTGACAGACCTAGTACTGCCCTCAATTCTTTGTAGACTTAATCATTAGGGTTTTGTACTCTCACGGGATCAAACTAAAACCTAGCTTCATCGACTTTATCTCCCTTTAAAACTCAAATCATTTAAACTATAAAATAAAACATCTTAACAGTCCTAAAAATACAAACACTGAAGGGGGTTGATTGTTTTCGATACAAATTACAAAAAGAAAATACATGTTACGGCAATGTTGTAGCGAAATTGATCCAAATTTGTAGCTTTCAGGACATAACTCTCAAAAAAGTGGTTGATACCCAAGAACAACATTGGGAATTTTTGTTTGGTTTCTGGGGAAATACATTAGAAAACAACAAGGTTTCTTCAGCGCAACTTCTCGTAGTACGAACTTGACCTAGTTCGGTATATATGGACAAGATCTCTTCTGGTTCGATTTTCACTTGTGGCCAAAGAAGACAACAAATTGACGAATCTCACAATTCGACAGTCTTTTTGAGTGACAACTACGTACCCTTAGCAGTCTTTTACCTTAGCCAAATTATTATAATGGCAACTATAAATATGAGGTCGATCGGCTTTTATCATTTTGTTCTGTTTGGTGTTATATCTATTGTTAAAATCATTTTCATCATTAACGACAATAAATCGCCCCCTTAGCTCAATTATAAACAGGGAGAGAGAATGTGCACAAATGAAATAAGCGAGATTTTGAATTTGAAAGGCAATGATTTAGCAAATAATGTGTTTGATGGAAGTCATGGGACAAGAGAGTGTCTGGTGTTTGTGGGGTTTCAAATTTTGAACATGGGGAGACTACAAGTTAAGGATTAGGTGGAGGAAGGAGATATATAATATAATGGAGTGCAACTTTAATACACTCGAAAACGAGGGACGGTGAAGCAATTTCAAAGCCCCTCAGCCCCTCCAGAGTCCTGACACACGCCAAATGGAGAGAATCTCTCGCCTTTTCAATGAAGACAAATGAAACCTATATTTCACTAAATACCACCCTGGAATATTTACTATAAGCTATAAATAATAAACCTCCTCAGGCTCCTCTATGTGCTTCGGGAAGCCGAATCTCACCAGCCTAAAATACGGGTCTCAGATAACCCAGTTTTCACTTGGAGACGACTCCCTGCTTTTTATCATATCTTATGTACTCTCCTCCTCAATAAGTTTATTATTTTATAATCTTCTGCTGGTGGCAGCTGCCATTATATTATAATATTATGATTTCTTGGGTCTTTTGACTTCGGGTTTCGAAATCTGGGAATTTTGAAGGCACACCGCCAACCCGCTTCGAGACGATAAGCTCTTTTTCTATTTCTTTATTTTTATTAAAAAATAAATAACACTACCGTTTTCTAATAACAAGAACGATGCTATTATCATTATGCTAATGCTTGGTGGGTGGAGAGGAAATCTCAGATATACTTCCTGCATAAATTTGACACGTGGAGAATGTCTGCGTGTCTGTGGCCTCCTCTAATGGGGGTGGGGCCCCTCCGGGACGAGTCTCTACTCTCTACTCTCTAGACTGTAAAACAGGTTGCAGGTCTCCGCCGTAACACACACGCATCTACATTGTTTTGACTTTGACTATAGAAGCTGGGACCCACATAAAAAATTATCGTGGGTACCACTCCGGAGATCTTTAAATCAAAATTTCGGTTCGGGATCATCATAGCCATCCATTGAAAACACGACAACTAACGATCCCGTCACGGGATCGAATCCGCCTCCCAGCATTACGGGAGTTCTCCTCTCTAACAATTACTCCTCCTCTGACTCTGAATAACCCATATTTGTGGTTCAAATTACCGAAATGCCAGTGAGGGAAGACAAGAGATGTCTTTGACTTTTTTAGAGTTGCTATTACTGAACAGCGGGGATCAGGTGGCATTCATGAGAAAATCGCCATAAAAATGGATATTTTGCCCGATTTGAAGATAAAATCATAGTTAACAAGAAAGTCGTAAGATAATTAATGAAAATAGTGGGGTTAAAAATGGAAAGTGGTCCATATTGCTGGGACATCCGAAAAGCTGGCAAGCCGACGTTTTCCGTTACGAATCGCTATCGACCGTCATGATAACCTGTGAACGTTGCTTTTGTGTGGGTCTGCGATATAACGGCTTCCGTCAGTTACTGTGCCGTCGTTTGCTATAAATACGGACTCTAATCTCTTTCTCTCCGATCTGACTCGTCATTCGTCACTAGTTCATTTGCACATTCCATCGTTTGCACACTTTCTCTCTCTACTGTGTAGTGCGAGCTTTAAATGGTTTGAGTGAAGAAGAAGCAAGCGTTTACTATTGTTTTCTCGATAACTGGTGGTTGTCGGAATGGGGAGGAAGGATCAGAAAGACAAAGATAAGGAGAGAGTGGACGCCGTTCTTCATCTGCTAAGAAAGCAAGCTCCTCTTACGGTTAAACAAGTGAGTGAGAGACAATGTTTTCTTTTCTCCTGAAATCATCACGTCCTTCTGTCATAGATCTACTCTGCACAGTCTTTCACTGATTTCTTGAAGTAATTTGAAAGAGTGATCTAGCTTTGCTGTTTTGGTTTTTTTTTTTAGGTTTTGTTTGATTTAAAATATTGTAGTTCGAAATAGATTGATCACAGAAGTGTGAACGCATGCAACACTCCTTTTCGCTGTTCTGGACTTTCTAATTAGTTCACTATTCCTTGTAGTTGTTGGTTTTCCAGACGAGCTGTATGATTGAACAGTTCTTTAAAGGATTGTTTCATAATCTTGCATTTTGTGTGAGAACTTATTTAGGTTCAAACGCGTTTGATTTTATTTTGACTCACTTCTGACTTGAACTGAATTTGGTTCTGTCAGACTACAGCTCATAGGTTTTGAAACGCTGTTCTAGTTTTGAATCCTTCAGTAGAAGTTCTCGTATGTTTTGCCTTTCAGCCTACTTTAAATTTTAATTTCACTTTGCTGTGAATGTTTTGTGATTTCTGATCTCTCTCTATGTTTATCTTTCTCTCGCAGGAGAAGTTCTGCAACTATGCTTGCGTTGAACGGTTTCTGAAAGCAAAAGGAGATAACGTGAAGAAGGCCGCGAAACATTTAAGAGCCTGCCTCTCTTGGAGAGAGAGTATTGGCACTGGTATTATTTCTTCTCTCTTTTTTTTCCCCTAAGAAACTTACTTTTTTGAAATGCCGAAAGAAATCGTAAGGAAAATACATTTAAAAATTAAAACCTCTCCTCTGTTTCTTTGGTCTATTTCTTTATCTACTTTTTGTTTTTTTTTATCGAACTTTAGCTCTTTTCTTTTCTTTTTATTTTTTGAATAAGAAGCCGTTAAAAAGTATACATGCATAAGGGCTTCAAAAAAAAGTATATATGCATAAGTGTTCAGATTTTCAAAGCCAATGAATCAATGAATCAAATAAAGAGAAATTAACTTCTTCATTTATTCCTTAAGAGAACACTAATGACCTGCGTATTATTTTCTGCCTGCCTTTTGGAAAAAAAAAAAAAAAAACAGAGTATTTAATAGCAGATGAGTTCTCTGCCGAGCTATCAGAAGGCTCCGCCTACGTTTCTGGTCAGGACGAAGAATCCAGGCCTGTTGTGGTAATCTCTCTCTCTCTGGTACCATTTCTCTTCCTCCATCGATCTGATGGGGTTAAAACTTAAAACTTAAAAGAAACCAAATGAAGGCATTTTTATGTTGCAGGTTTTACGGATTAAGCAAGACTATCAGAAATTCCACTCACAAAAACTGTAAGTGATGACAGAAAAAAAATTAATTTTAACGCAATCCAAAGAAATTTTTTTCTAAGCAACTTATTTAACTTATATTTATTTCATTTCAGGTATATACGTTTGCTGGTCTTTACACTCGAGGTGGCCACTGCGTCCATGCCGAAAAACGTCGAGCAGTTCGTACTCCTTTTCGATGCGAGTGAGTGTTCCCCTGCTCTGAAACGAGTCGAAATGATTATTTTGCCCTTTCCTTGGTGGATCGAATTTTGAAACGGTCAGGGTAATCTGGTCATTTTGTTTTCTCTGCTCAAACTTCAATCTGTTCTGCATCCTGCAGCCTTTGTTTCCTCTTTCCGTAATCAAGTATCCCTGTTCTGCTAACCATTCTGAAAATTTGCAACATGCACCTCTGAAATCCCTGATTTATTAAATTAGAACTGAAAAAAAGACGCCTGGCTTCTCAATCAGTCCCTGATCCCTGGTTAATTAGTGAAGAAATTAATTTGTGGACAGCGAGAACCAGCTTCGTAAAGTGAATTAGGATGAGATTCTGTTCCGTCATTCCGTGAAACAACTTGTACAACTCCCATGGCGCAATTTAGTCAAAACGTGATAATCAATGAGGGTGATGCAACTGATGAGTAGGACTACCAATTGTCGGGAACCCGCCATGTTCCGAGTCTCAATGTCGCCCTGGGTTACCCCTGAAACGTCACAGTCGACTTGGTTCAGTTTTGGTCGGGTTAACAAGGGTATAGTTGGAAGTTCATCTTTCAGAAATGGTCAATTTGCCGTGGGACTTTTCCAAGTGTTCTTTTATCTTCTGCGGAGCAGCACAAGTACAGATGATTTTCTATTGCAGACGGACGAATTTCCAGATATAGAAATTAATAAAATGGATCTTCGAGCTCTTAATTAAGCTTACTTAATTAATTTATTTCCCTTTTTCCTTATTGGTTGAGATTAACATGAAACGCGTGCAAATGCAGGCTTTTTCAGATCAGCTTCGGCTTTTATGAACCTGTTGCTGGCAACCCTGAAGATCGTAGCGGAATATTATCCTGGACGGCTTCACAAGGCCTTTGTCATCGATCCCCCCTCTCTTTTCTCTTATCTCTGGAAGGTGAATTTCAAAAACTCCGTCCCACTTGTTATGGTTCGGTCGCTTGTAAAAGAATGGACCACAATCCGATCCTCTCGTTCAGTGGTGGTCCATTCCTGACTTTTTGTGTTCCAGAAATTTGACCGATGATCAACTTTATATGGTGAGCAGGGCGTTCGGCCGTTTGTTGAGTTGTCGCCAGTGACAATGGTGGTATCGTCACTGGACTTCGAAGAATCGTTGGAGTACGATGACTTCTCAACCATCCCACGAGCTTCCTCCCTCCGATTTGATCCGTCGATGATCCCGTCAACGGCCAAGATCGGCGCATCCTCCTCTTCTCGCTTCTCCTTCACTGCGTCTCAACACTTTGACTCCTTGAAGCCCTGGTACCTGAGCTTGACTGACACGTCAGCCTCCAAAGTTGGACCCACCAGCCCTTCCCCGTCGCTGTTGGGACCCGCTCTCATCTCCCCACTAAACGCACGTTCCTACTCCTTTGCATCACCCGCTGCGAGAACGCCACGTAATGGAATCATCAGAGGTAGTGGTGGAGCCGCTCGGAAGAACAATTATTACTTCCCTTCAACCCCACTGCCACCGCGTGTCAACAGAAACAATGACAACGTCAACCATCCAAGGACGCCGAGACCGTCGTTCCTCCACTCACCTGCGATGTTCTTCAGGAAGGACAACGTCAGCAGAGCAGAGAGGGCCCGAGAGTCGTTCCTTCCATTCCTGAAATTCTACAGGAGACCATACGACGAGATGGTTTACAGGTCAAAGATGAGACCGCCACTGGGAGGTCTTATATCCATCGTCTCTCCTCACCTCAAAAGGCGCCACGTGTCAGCATCCCAAAGGTTCTGAAAAATAAAAGTACATATCACAACATTTTCTACTACTCCCAAGTCCAAATAATAATGATAACATAGAAATCTTTTCTTCTTTTCAATTTAAATGTAAAATTATTGCCCCTCTTTAATGAATGAATGATGAAAAACAAACAAACAAAAAAAAAAAAAGGAGACGACGTACTAGGCGGGGTGTGAGATGGTGTGCATGTTGTCTCTGTTTTGATATATGCTACGTTTTGGGGTTTGGAGGCAATCCATGCATGGTAATTGGTAAATGCAATAGCGTGGTCTCAACGATGAACATCGTATTGGAACTCATAAAAGGGAGGGAGGGGAGACCAATGAAGGATTTGAGTTTGCTTTAAATATTTTTGTGACTTATGTCTTGTTAAATTATTATTAATAATATTGTTAATAAAAGTTTGAAAACTCTTCTATTGTTTACTATTTCCTTTTCCAACTTAATTTATTCAATTTTTTATTATGTGTGTCAAAAAAATCCATTTTTTTATTATAGGAACGAGTGCGATAGCCGGATTTTAGTGAGCTTTTTTACAAACGATTTATGTCTTGAACGTGGCAGCCTATGGCTTGCTTCCTGACATGAATGTTTTCTTTTTTTTTGGATAAGTAACATGGATGATATTTTCGGCATGTGCTACCATTTCAGAAATCGAATCAGTTAAAAACATTAATCTCGGCTTCTAAAACTGTGGTGATACCCCAGTCCCAAGCTACTTCAAAATTCAAATATCCCCTCGGTTTAAGAGGTGCGAAGTTGTAAGTTTTTTATTTGCCAAAAAAACACGAATAAATTATACCTCTGCTGATATTTGTGTGAGACACTGAGACCTAACTTATATAAAAGAAAATTGGTTCAGCTTAAAGAACAGAGTGATGTTTTCTCCATTTATTTTAATTTCATAAGTAACCAAGTTCTAGAGTAATGTGTGGACTCCAGATTTCATGAAAATGGCATCCAAAAAATCGTTAGAATCGACTAATACCACTTTAACAGAAGTATTGGGCACCGTTGCATTTCATGCCCGTTGCGTTCTATATAGGATGGCAAATGGGTGGATTGGGTTGGGTAAAGGTTGAATACCAATTTATCCATTATTGACTCATCAACCCATCATGATCCATGACCAATCCTTGTTTATAGGTCACAACCCATCTTTACCCTCATCCACCCATATTGACCCACTTATCCATCCATACCAACCCTTATTCACCCTCATCTATAAATGTGAATTTTTTTAAATTTATTTCAGTAAAAAAAAGAAATTACAAAAATTACATAAAATGATAAAAAACTCAAAAAATTATATATTTTAACTAAAAGGTCAAATATTATAGGAAAAGTACATAACGATAATTTTTTTATATATAACAAAAAGTAGAAATTACAGAAAATAAATTGAATGATAAAAATCAAGAAAATACAAAATTATAAAAAAATTCAAAACATTTATATTTCAGCCGAAAATCAGAAATTGCATAAAATGATTAAAAATAAAATATATATATTCCATCTAAAAAATGCACAAATTGCAGAAAATACAAAAATTAATGAAAATTCTAAAAAAATACAGAAATGCACAAAATGTAAAAAAATTACAAAAAAAAATTGAAAAATATAGAAAATGCAGAAATATTTGCAAAAAAAATTATAGAAAATGCAAAATTGGGAGGAGGACGTTCTTCCTCTAAGCAAAAATCCACTATTGAAAGGCTCTTGTTATAGAGAATGGAGAATGCCTTAATTCTATACCCATATACACTTATTTTCTGCAATCTTTGAATAATGAATAAATAGAAAACGAGAAATTGTGGAAAATCACAGAGAAATAAAAAATAATCAAATAAGAATGGACAAATTAGCAAAAGAGGCAAGGGTCATCGGTGGTAAAAAGGCGGTGATCAAGCATTGGTGATGATTGGTGAATAGAGGCGGAAGAGGAGAACAAAGGGAGAATCAGTGGTGATTGGTGAAGCTTCGAACTTGCAAACATTAATTACTTGTCTTCTCTTCAAATAGGCATTGGGAGAGAGATTCAATCTTCTCTTGGTCGAATCAAAAGAGCATGTTGGACTTTCAAAGCATCATACCAATGTCTGAGGAGCAGAAGAGGAGAACAAGGGGTGGCGATTGAGTGAAGCTTCAAGCATCCAAACCCTAACCTTTAACAACTTCAATCCTTGATCAATCCCTAATTGATGAAGATGAAGAGAAGAGAGGCAACAATTGAGTCAAGCTTCACCTACCTAATAATTGACGAAGGTGAGGTTAGAGTGAAAACTTCAAAACCCTAGACATTTGAGACTGGCTGGTTGAGAAACCTTTGAAATTTAGAAGTTTCAAACCTCTTAAATGTAATGCCACTTCCCAGGTTCTTTTGTAGAGACATATGTCAATAGGTTATCATCACTCTACTAGAATTTTTTATCATGCCATTGTATAACCACTTAGACATGGTGTTTTGTTTTTTGCTTGAAGGATAATTTTAGAGTAGGGTTGGATTTTGGGATTTTACAACCTATACAGATATGCATACAGTACTATATTCGATTAAAAGTATCTCTCCGATCCATATCTTATTGGAAAGCATATGAACTTTATATATTAGGTGCCAAATTTAATAATATTTTGAATTTTATGCGAATAATAATTGATAGTTTATTTGTTTTTACATATCTTAATCAAATAATTGGAATTTTTTGCTGTTTGCTTAGGTTATTTTACTTATTTATTGGTTATATATAATAATAAATAAAAAGAAATTAATTGTGGGTTCTAAACCCAACCCATCCTACCCTTGAATGCACGGAGTGCTTTACATTTTCATGTGCAAGGAGGGTTTGGATTTTTAAAATCCAACCTGCTATGGGTTTTGAGGCAAATACATGTTATGAGGTAGATAGGTTCAAAACCCTCTCCAAACAAGGTTCAAAATATCGATACACCAATATGGGCGTATTGGGCAAACTTATAGTTTTCCCGGCCTTTTTTTTTATTTTTTTTCGCAACCAGTTCAGGAGGGCGGTTTAGGTCTCCTCTACCCCCTGAACCAGTCAGACCTCCGACACACCCACTGTAGGGGTGTATCGGAGGGGTCCTGAAACGATGCATGTCGGCCAATACGGGTCGGTACGTGTTGATACTTTGAACCTTGTCCCCGAACCCATTATGTTGCCATCCCAAGTTTCTGCATAAATCCACAATACCAATTGCTTGCCCAATTCTATGTAAATGGTGATGTGGCAAATTCGTGGAAGCAGGAGTGGAGCCAAGTTATTGGGTGAGACCCTTACCCTCCAAAAAAAAAATAGAGAAAACATCATAAATTGGGGGTGGAGTCACATGCATTAATACTTGGTCTCAACCCTGATCCAATTCAATTTGTGGAAAATGGAAACCCCAATTCTAGCTTTAATCCGATCCATTATTGTTTTTTTAAGGTCAGTCCAATTTGATTGGTTTGGATTTTCAAGTTTGCCTTGAATTGGAACAGCTTTTTTGACTTGTTGTAAGGTCGGAGTTAACAATACTTCATCGCAGCCTAATCCAAAGTTAAAGTAGGGTTCATATTTTTCAATCCCAATATTAAGAGACTTCAAAATGAATATTTTGTGTTGGATTTGGAATGAACAATATTTCTCATGCAGCGAATAGACCTTCTCCCCCGAGTCTATGGACACCTTTTAATTTATAATAAGAAATTTAATCAATGTGTGTATATATTATGAACGACTATTATTGATGTTGCAAAATTTGAACATATGCCAATCCACCGGGTCCCGTCTGAAGAATGGTGGATTAATCAAACGATCCTCTCCTATCCAGGTGAGGTGGTACAGAGAAACCCTCGACTTTAGCAGATTTGGAAACCCTAATGATCTAGAAATTCTGTGAACAACTGTGGTAACCCAACCAACGTAATCACCGTTGGACATATATCACCTAAATATGCGCGTTGAGCTCAAATTCCTACAAATTCATACAGCTGCCCAATGCTGATAGGCAATACATTGTTTGCTTCCAGCATTTTCTTAACAACAGATAGGCAGGGTTACAGAGTTGATGGGAATATTTGTCGGGTTTCGTCACAGAAAGGAGAAAGTCAGACTAGGGTTGAACTTAAAAATAACAGAGAGAGAGAGAGAAAGAGAGAGGGAAAAAACACACGTTTGGTATGTTTGTCGCTTTCCAAGTGTCTATTACCAAGTAATCCAAGGTTCTCTACCAGAGCTGACATTACACTCTCCGTGATTAGATTTTGTTTTTGTATTCAGAGAAGTTAACTGTATGGACAAAGGAGGGGTGTCGTTACATAGTTTATCACGGTGTATTTGGATTCTACTGCTTGTCATTTGCCATCTCACCCACTCCTTTTCGTTTCTTTTTCCTCTGGGTAGAGCTAAATCCAGGGACTATTCATGTGAGCACATAACAAACACACTACTACTTTTCTTAGCCTTGTTAAATTAGAACATTAATGGATGAGACAAAATCACTTTTTATCATTAAGGTTCTGTTTGCTTTTTCAGTTAAATGCAATTATCTGAATAAGTTTTTTTTGAGAAGTATTTATTCGGGTAAGTATATTTACTCATGTTTTTTTATCTTTTATGTAAATAAAGCAATGACCATTTTAGTCATAAAAATCTATTATTAAAAGGGGCATTTTTGTCTCATTCAAGTATTGGCAACCTTCCCTCAGTTGGGAAATTTATTTACCCACCTAGGATATGGGTATCACTTACCCGGTTAAGTGATATGCAAGAAAATAAACTTTCTCTGATTCCTACATAAATCTGAAAAAAGAATATGGGATTCTTAGTCAATGATAACCAAAATTCCATTGACCAACTTCCCCCTCTCAAAATCCCAAAAATGAACGCCCCCTAAATGTAAATAGAAACTACACATTCACTAATGTTGATAACCTCTCTCTGTGCTGTGTATCTGTTAATAACATGAATAGGAGTTTCTGGGATTGCAGTAGTGATGTAATTCTAATTAGGGTAGCCATTGAAATGGCAGAGGTAACTCGGTAAGAGACCTGATAGTCTAATTTAATTAGACCAAACTGCAGGTTTTAATATAAATTAACAAGACCACAAAGTGAAACATTCCGTACGTGATCAGCATACCTAGAGTCTAGAGATGGTGTCCGAGCTCTGTAACTTTATTTCTGCAAGTTGCCGAGCTTCATATGACCAACAAATCTGTCAGTCGTCTAGTTGGCCCATCTGTGTTCTTTCCCCCTCACAGTCACAGGAGATGTTTTTACCGAAAATTGACATTTTATCAGACTTTCGGTACTGTTTCATGAGCAATGTGTTGGGCCATTTGCATATTA